GATAAAGCGAAACTTGGTTTATTAAATTCAGCACTTTCCGCAACTTATGGGATAAAGTTTAAAGCTACTAACAATAAACGAACCCATTATCATCTAGTAGGTCCATTCGATAAAGAAAGCGCCCCAGAGTTGCTACCATACCAAACGGGTGAAGGACAATTCTATGAAAATGGTGAGGATATACGTTATGGGTATAGTAAACTCTCACCCGACGAATTAGAGAACGCTCCCAGTTCTGATATACAGTTGCGTCAAGAATTGTTTGATATCGTTTAAAACGAGTATTTAGGATCCATAATATATCTTAACCCATTTTTGTGACGCTAAAAAATAATATTGTAAAAAAAATCCCTTACGAAGACCATTTTTGTGACGCTTAAAACTAATATCTAATAAAAGTGAGTATAATTATTCATCTGCTTCTATTCTCTGCGCCTTTTGTCTCTCATACCAATTTCGAAAATAAACCCTCTTCGCATGCTTAGGACAGCATCCCGTCCCGGAATTGTTTTCTTTTTCCGCAGATGTCACAAGGAATTTTTGCTAAATTTTTTGCTACATTTTTTTCATATAATCTCCAGTGCAACGAACACCCTATGTCCCGCCAACAACCTTTTCCACAAATCGAACCATCTCTTTTAACATATGGGCAGGTTGAACGCCCCGGACTACCTCTTTTAACATATTGATATGTTGAACACTCCGAATCGTCTTCTTTAACGTATTGACTGGTTGGATACCCCATTCAAAGTGATTTAATATATAACGTATAAAGCCCGTTTCACTTTTTATGTGAATATATTTAATATAAAATTAATTTAAACTTTTTCAAATTATTTTGTAATAATATAATCGAATATATATTGATACTATACATCACACTTAAAAATGGAAACGCCCCAGAAAATAGTCAACTTATTAACCAAGAGAGAGATCGATCACAATGGGCCAACGTTCCGCAGACTAATGCGCAATGGTTATAGGTACTGTACGTAAAAGATTTAGCGGAATTTCTACAATTATCAGATATTATGGACTATTATTATCCTGAGCAAATAAGATTCATGAACGCTCTGTCCCATCCAGCTATGATACCACCGATTGATATAATGGAAAATAGACCTGATATTTACAAGAAATGGTCGATAAGTATAGAAACATATCAGAATCTATTCCAAGCATTATAGCGGAGCTAGTGTCTCTGACACATAAAAAAACGAATCATAAACCTTAATATAGCTTGGGCTCCTACCCCCGAAGTTATAATTTTTTTGTTATATCCTATGTAATAGTAAATTTCAAATCGTCGTCCCGGTTACCCTATAGGTAGACATAAACACTCTTTTTCTGAGTATATGAGGAAAAAGCATAATTAATGTCGATTTGAAAAAATATTTTTTTATAGTGTATAAAACCTAAAGCACCGTTCATAAACTACTTGACCTATTATAACATTCAAACATGTCAGCTATCGTAACTAAAATCGTTGAAAAGTATAATCTCAGCCCCGAGATGAGTGTGA